TGGGACCATCTGGCAAGGATTTTAATCCAAACTGTTCTGTAAACATTGATTCTGTTTGAGCACCAGGAACTACTGTCCATTTGCCCTCAATTGCTTCCTTCATTTTACACGGCAATCAGAGAGCTAAAGGGACCTCTGGACTAGTTTCTTCACTCTTTCTTTTCAGGGATTCCAGGAGAGTCACATTTCTCTGAGGGACCTTCCAGTGCCTTCCAGAGTTATCTGTAGACTAAATGAGGCTAGAGTGGGTTCCAACACTAAGTGTCTAGCAATGGTGACATCTCCTTACTTCCTTCAGTTGGACACAGGAGTTTGAGACTCAGCTTCTTTATAAAAATCATCTGCACTGTGGCCTTTCCAATCTTTTACAAGATAGGACTGTGATGGGCACTTCATCCAATCCTAGGGTTTTCTGGACCTTTCTACCAGGCTGCCTGGAGGTTGACTGGGGATTGTTTCAGCTGTGAGGCTCAGAGAGGAACGGCTGCTGGGACTGCTGATGCCTCTGGGACAGAAGTCCAGGCTGTGCTGGGCCTGACTCTGCCTCTCCCTGGCAGTAAATTCCATATGTTGAAATATACTTTGGAGAATACATACTACAGATTCCATAAGGTTTTTTTTACAAGATATTCAAAGCCTTCCCACAAGCCATTACCCTGCAAATAGGAGTCCTCAGTGTTTAAACATAAAGGTTCTTTACAGGGCTAATTTTAAGTGTGAATTTGAATATGGAGTGCTTAGGAAAAGGCTATGCAGCTGGACCATTAAGCATGATGCTATCTTGACATTTTTAACTTATGGGAAATACTGATTAGGAATGTTATAATGACCTCAGCATACATAATGTGATTGTCTTTAATCATGACCCATTTCCATGGGTCTGTGTGACAAACACATTAACTGAAAGACAATGGCATACTCTTGCACTGTGGCACTTCTAATTGTCTCCATGCTTCTCATTGTTTCCAGGATATTGAATAACTATTATTTAAAGGTCAGAATAATGCCCAAGATATGGCCAAACCCAGTGAGTGTCAGACACAAGGAATGTTGGGTGACTTCACTTAGGATTATTTCATTTCTCATGACAATTCTTGACTTGCCAAGCTAGTGGATTTTAAGAAGGCAGAGAGCAGGTTTTAAGATAAATGTGAACTGACCCGTTCTTGTGGAGTCAGGGGCCTCCCTTCAGGTACCAGTTGCTGTTTCTCTTGCCCGACTTGCACTTCAGGATAGCATGGTTAGGACAAGGTCTTATGCTGCACATTCCCTCACTGGGAAAGAAAACCAAATGCACAGCTTGGAGCGGCTCTGAGAACCCAGAGTCAACATGGTTATTTTAGCCTTTATAAAAATGTTTTCTCAGTGTGGCAGCACAACCCAGTTCAATGAAAATAGATAGGAATTTTGGATTTCTGTCTGTTGATTTCTTTTTTCTCTAATTAAAAATTGGAGATAATGATTTTAATTGTCCATAAATTTAAAATCTCAGAAAACCTCTCAATCTTTTCTTAGGACACGTGTTGGCAGTCTCCTAAATTAAACTAAATTTTCCTGAACAATGACTGTTGCATTTGAGAGCGATTTAAAAATCAAATTTCAATTCTAACTTTGGGTAGGTTTCTCCATCATTTATACTTGTAGTTAGTCAACAATGGATTTTTAAACAAACAAACAAAAGCTGACAATTTTGATTCATAAACTAAAGGATATTTATCCAAATCTGAATGGCTGTCAATGGCCTCTGCAGTTTTTCTTGGCTTCTGTTTCTCAGCTCCCCTAAATCACCCTTTTTCATTCCATCCAACATATTCTAAACTCTTCCTCAAAGAATTATACCTGACTAAGTTCATGACTAGCATCAACTGCCGTGCTATCCAGAGAGTGGGTCTGTGTGTCAGCAACACCAGAGTGTGGAGGTGTAACTGTATTAAAGAATAAGACATTTTATTGTTTTACTTAGTAATTAAGAAAATGTAAACATCCTCATCTGCATGCACATATCAAAGTTCATTGAATTCTTGCCTTAGATGCTATGTGGTAGAATTAAAAGTAAAAAGGCTCACAAAATTCTGAACTTAGAACAACTATCTGTCAACATCAGAGCTCATGTTATTTTAGTCACATATAACTTAACTATAGGGAACACCCACACCCCTTAGAAACATATGTGATGTTGAAATGAACTCTTTCATAACAAGCCTGTATATCATTGCAAACTTTCTTTTTTTTTTTTTTTTTTTTTTTTTTTTGTTTTTTGAGACAGGGTTTCTCTGTGTAGCTTTGCGCCTTTCCTGGAACTCACTTGGTAGCTCAGGCTGGCCTCGAACTCACAGAGATCCGCCTGCCTCTGCCTCCCGAGTGCTGGGATTAAAGGCGTGCGCCACCACCGCCCGGCTTATTGCAAACTTTCTTAAACCACGTATATCTTTATCTGGTTTCATGATGGAAATATTTGAAATGTCATTAATGATAATTTTAATAAATGAACAAGCTTGGTTATTGAACTTTTTGTTCAAAAAAATTCCCTATTTTGTTTCCTCTAGTCTGATGCATTTAGAATTGATCATCTTTGAAGCAAAGAACATCTATGAGGTAGCCCATTGTTTGGGAGGCAATGTCTAAATGGGAAGTGCTGCAGCTGGTCATGCTGCTCCCCTTGGCATCTCCCAAAGAGTGTAAGCAGCCAACAACTGAACAGAGACTCACGCATACACAACAAAAGTCCACGAACAGATTCCGCATACAGATCTGTTAAAAGAGTGACTACTTCAGAATGCTTGATAGAAAGTGTGGTATTGGACATCACAGCTTACACCTCTGGCAATTCATATGGCTATTATAAACTTAGGATGAAATGGCACAGTGCAGTGACTGGACTCTTTGAGGGTCTCAGTAGAATGTGTGGGTAACATGTCCTTCAACCAAGCACGTTCTTTACTTCAACTGTTCTCACTGTCTTCCACGCTTCAGTCTCCTGTGTTTATTGATCAGTGGCTTCCAGAGGAAATGGCCACAACTGACCAAGACTTCACGCTTCTGCCTCTCTTTTACCAGCTCTTCCTGCTGACCCTCACATCTCCATATCCCCTCTTGACTGCCCAAAAGTAGGACTTGACTTCCTAAAACAATTGTTTTTATTCCAGTATGACTCTTCCATTTCCAGGATGAATATTCAGTGGCTCTATTTGGATTATAAGAAAAACTAGTAGAGAAAAGGAGACAAAAGAGTTAGTAACATAAAATGTTCTAAACTATATTGGCAAAAAGTGTTAGTTTGAAGCCTTTGCTTGGCACTTTTATGGTGTGTCTTTGTTTCTGACGCCGCCGTCAGTATGCTTGGTAGGCCTTAATTTTATACAGGAAGAACCACCGTATCCCTAGTTGTCACGGAACTGCTAGGCTGCTGCTTGCTTTGGTTGGTTTTTCTTTTTTTTTTTTCCAAAATAAAAATACTGCCATTTTTTAACTACACTTCAACCTGTATTTCTCCATGTTATTTTTATTTTAAATAAAATATGTCCTCTGGTCAAACTTTCTGCTCTCCCAGGAGAGCACCTCTGGAGCCTACTGCATTTTTCCCCTAATGTTGAATAGAATTTTGCAACATAAATCTTGTTTGATATCTGTTTTTGTGCTGTTACTGTCAAGATTTTTAGACCCTGTATTAGTTCCCAGCACCCACATCAGGTGGCTCACAGCTACCTGTAACTCCAGTTCCCGGGATCTGACACGTCTTCTGACCTCTGTAGGCATTTCCATGCATGTGATGCACATACTTATACTCACTTTCACATTCACATATATATAAAACACAACATAAATAATTTAATTTAAAAATAATAGAGGCTCTGAATTCGTACATGGAAAGGTCTTATATTTTCCTCTCCCAGAACTGTGACCCTGCAGGAATCACTTGGGCTGTTGTATTCCATGTTGTTAAGGTTGAAGGGGGTGGAGTGCTCTGTGAAAGTTGAGTGAGGAGGGGGTTATCTGACTTATAAATTTGTTTTAAGGAACAATTAGGACAATATATAAGCAGCATTAGTCTTGCATATAGTAAGTGTCTCATGGATGGCAGGTTAGTAATCTACTATATTTTATTCTTAGCAGCTTCCTAGTGCTGCTGTATTTTCATTATACACTGTGCCAAAACAAAAATACATCTAGATAAATCACTGGATACATTTATATAATATTCCTTGCCTTTTTTATATGACATTAGGATAAATTATTACATAGAGCTGGTGGGTCAATAACTATTCGAAACTGAGATTTTTATACTAGGAATACTCTCTAGCTAATATTTCCACCCCGACCAACACTTTGCAAGATGTCAGGTTTCTTTCCCTTTAAGTCATTTCATAGTAATCACACAGCATTGGTGACCTTAATGGAGTCAGACAATCTGGAGGGAAAACTTGCAAGCACTTCACACTCTGTGGAAAATGAAGTACTCAGTGGCCCGTGTGCCCTGGCAGCAGTCACCCTCAGGAGCCCACGTACCATGGTGGCGGTCAGCCTTAGAAAGTTGTTTAGAAAGGCTTTCATAAGTTAGCACTTGAACATTTTTCTTTTTCCTACCCAAATAAGCTGTACAAAAATAAGTCCAAGTTCTGCACGAAAAAACAGTTTTATTTCTACCTAATCATTCTTTCCAATGAGAAATTGTATCCTACAAATGTGAAAACCTCTATAGGGTCCAGAAATTTTCAGTGTTTAGTCATGATGATATCAAGCCATTATGCAGAATTACTTCTGCATGGTTCAAGCTAACCTGAACATTTCTTAAATTTAGCTTCTTGAACAGTTACAATGCATTACATATCTCCCATATTTCCTCTCATTGTTGTGTTAATTTTCCAGTGTTTCACATACATGTTCCACTTAAACCAGACACTGCAGACAGGTAGTTGAACTTTGTTTTCCAGATATTATTTTGCATAAGTAACATCTTTTTAAATTTTCTAAATTTTATTCATGATACTCACCTATCATATCATTTTTTTCCTTGACCTTTTTCCATATTTTTATTAAAAGTTTTCCACACGATGTATTTTGATCGTGGTCCCTTCCCCCCAGATTCTCCCCTAGTTGATGTTGTACTATCAGTGTCTCAGCCTCTGGATTTGGACTCTTAGAGGGCACATTGGTTTGCAGTTTAATATCATCCATATAAGACATAGCTCCTATATTGAAAGAATATTCAAACCAGGCAAGTTTTTAATATTGTGATTTAATTTAATACTTATTTTATGCATAAATATCTCTACTAAAATTTGAGTATTAATTTTGGGTAGTCTCATTACTTGATTCATTTATTCAATAAATTTATTAAATTCCCACTGTGGACTAAAATTTTACAGTAATGAGTTTAAAAGTTTAACAAATTAATGGTGTGTAAGTTTTAATGTATTAATATATGCAAAAGTTATAGATTTAATACATATCAATATATATCCAGTTGCTTATTTCACTTGAACTACATGTTAATGTTTTACCCTCCTTAAAAATTCCTTATAATGAGTACAATGAATTATGAAAATTTTTGAAGCTGTTGGAATTTTTAGTTCCTCTTTAGAACATGATACATTACTCTAGAGTAAATTATGAAGCACAAAAGCAAACCTCACTAATTTATTTTTGAGGTGTAAACATCTTTACAACAGTTTTTAAATGAATAATGAATGTGTTAGTTCACAGTAAAGTATTTGGCAGCTGTATCATGTAGACTTGAAATGTAGTGTACAACATTCACTTATTCCTTTCCCTTCCTTGGTCTGCTCTGTTTTTCTAGATTTCATCTTATTTTTCTTTCTTCCTGAATGTATCAGTTCAGGAATTCTCTCTTTAGACATGTCTGTGGGTGGTCCTCAGGGTCGATGTCTAACTCCCCAACCACTAATTCTGTTTTCTTTTGTATAGAAAAAAAGAGTTGAAAGCTGTCTATACTCCCATCTGAAATCTTCAGTAGGAGAATTACACATTTAGTCTGCTAAATAATAGCGCACAGCCCTCAGGATCCCCCACAGTTGTGGCAACTGTCCCTTGCCCAATTGCTGCCTTTAAGTTGTCATTTAGAAGTCCAGTGAATGAGTCCTGGTCCAGTTTTCCACTCAGTGGGAAATATGCAGCGCTAGCTAAGTAGTCCCGAGAAGAGGAAAGCCTGGGTTGATGGGAAGGCGGTGGGAAGTGAGTCGGTAAGGAAGACTCTTCAAATAAAGCTCCCCAGCTGATAGAGGAGCATAAAGAGCCTTGGGCTCTGGGCAGAAGGGGAGCCTGGTCCTCCTCTCTCCACACAGCCTCTTGTCCTGATGTGCGGCTGTCGGGCCTCCACACTGACTCTTCTGTCGATACCATGCTCGGGGTGCTGAAGGTTCTGTGACTACCCGCTAATTCCTACATAGATCACAAACTCCTTAGCTTCGGAAATCAGTGCCTGCTCCACCTAGGCCACCTGTCCCTCTCCACCTCCCTTTCTCCAGCCAGCTGACACTGAACTGTGTGTGCTGCTGCTTTTCAAATCTTACATTGTCCCTCTGGCCTCCAATGAACTGTGATCTTTAATAGAAGTTCTACCCCAACGGAGACCTGGCTGTTGATGAAATGGCCTTCCCCTTGTCTGACTGCCCCCGCCCCTCCCCTCCCCCACTGCTGGTCTGCTTTATCTGCTCTTGAGTATTCTCCCTAGAGGATAGTCCACTCCTGGGGGCTGCCTCATCGCTTCCACAGTGCATCCACAGTACCTTATGCAGCTGCAGAATAAAGATGTACTGGGTGGATGACAGAAAACATCTCATTAAAATTAGGTAGTCTAACATAAATTTCATAGTTTTGTGCCAGATTTTATATTTATGTCTAGAAATTAAAATCCAGATAGGAGTTTCAATTCTTAGTGGAAACGTTCAGCTCCTAGAACAGGGAACTTTAGTCACTGGAAACAAGGAGATGACTCCCACCCTAGCTGGTGCCTGGGGGTAACTGGTGCCAGAGTCCCAGGCCTAGTGATTCTACCCTGAGCAGGAGAACTGATGTGCTCCTGGGCCTTCTCAGTTCCTTCTCACAGGTTTTCCTCCTAATGATATAATTGCTTTCCTGGTAAGTTATATGCGTGCAATTACCAGTGATAGATATTTTTTAACAGTAGACCCAGAACATTGTAAATACCCAATTGATACATATGGAGAGAAATGGTTTTTTCCCCATTTAACTTTTTTGTATGAACTGAATCAAAATGTATCTGAATTTTTATAATTCAAAGGAAATATCTGTGCCCACATTGAGAAGAAATAACTGTCAAGGAAAACCCAACTGTATTGCCTGGTGGTACTGAATCAGTACAAGTTGTGTGCAGGAGGGAGAAGCTTTAATTAATGGAGCTCATATGCAGATGTGCACATCCTCACTTAAAATCTCATTGTGTATATAAAGCCTTCTCTGGAGGCTTCGGCATGTTCAGGATATTTAGCTTGATTTGACCTTGAGTACCTTGCATCTTTTTTTTTTTTTTTCATTTCCAGCTACTAGTATCCAAAGTAAACAACTTTCTTGTTTCCTTTAGCTTTGTGTGGACCTGAACCTTATTCCCAGTTGCTGCTATTTTTTTAAAAAAAAAAAAAAAAAAGAGAGAGAGAGAGAGAGAGAGAGAGAGAGAGAGAGAGAGAGAGAGAGAGAGAGAGAGAGAGAGAGAACGAACACTGCTATTTGTTTCTCTCTTTTTTTCCCCCTTGTAACTAATATTTAACCATCAAAGATACTCTGGTACTTTTATATTGTGGAGTGTCTGTAGGTGAGAACATATTTCCCCTAAGGGTACTTGCTGTCCTGGATTTTTGCATTTTGTCCCTACAAAAGCCTGGTTATTTCAAAGGCCCCTTGGCCATTGTGTGGAGGAAGAATTGAAGAAAGGCCTGAATAAAAGCAGGGGTGTTAGGAGGATTTAGGGGAGACTTAGCTGTTCTCAAAGGAAATGCTACTGCAGTTGGCAGCAAAACACATCTTATAACAACTCTAGTGACCTCGGGAAACTTTAACTAAAGCATGTTGTCAACGATGAAATTAAAAGAAAACGATCTGCTTCCATCAAGACTTTGCTTTTGATGATAATTCTGTGTGTACCTTAGGGCATCTTTGTGGATTTGTAGCTCTGTGGATGTTTTCAGTCTGTAGTTCCGTGTTCCATGAGTTTCACCTTTAGTTAGATCTACTAAATAATAGAATGAAAAGTGTTAGATTTTTGTATCATATAAACACTTTACTTAAACTATCAGTTTGTTTATAATAATTACAAAGCATATCAAACATTGCTTAAATATTTTATAAAGAAGTACTAATTATTATGTTTAATATATAAACTGATTTTTATAATTTAAGTTAGTGATTACTAGTCAAAATAGTAAATATTTGAATGACTCACAAAATGTTATTACCAACACTCTCAATTCTAATGAGTAAGTGAAAATATGCACCCAGAGGTTCAGTTGGTTAAAGTTACAGTTAGTATATAATGCAAAAAATAGAAGGGCCAAAGGCGTTTATCTCATATCAAAATGTTGAAGATTTTTCTGATTTAATACTGAAATTTCATAAGAGGCATATTAAGTAAACTGCATCTTCTGTTTTGTGTTTTATCATAAGAAAAAAGTAAGGAGTGGTAATTTAGAGTCAAAAATAGCGCTACAAGGCACTCAGCTGAATCTGCTATCAGCCAAGACCAATGTTCTTTGATCTCACATTTAAACCTTCTTGTCCTCCAAATGAATGAAATGGCCCTTTTCCTCCTCAAATGTTCAACAGACCTTTTGCCATTTGATAGGACCATTCTTTTAAACTGCGATCTGGAAAACAACATTGACTCTGTGGCATATTTGCTATTCTTAGCCTGGTGAAATAAGCTGGAAGTAGATGAATAATGCAGGTTAGAGAGAAAACACATGCTAGAGATTACAAATAGAGAGGTTTTCCAGCATGAGACTTTCATTTTAGGACTAGATTTTTGTTGGCATGTTTGGCATTATGACGATAATTGTTTTTCTTTCCAGCTGTTACACATCTGCATTGAAGGCTGGGGCAACTGGCGTTGGTCAGAGCCCTTTAGTGTGGACCATGCCGGAACATTTATTAGAACGATTCAGTACAAGGGTCGAACCGCTTCGCTCATCATCAAGGTTCATCCCCTCAGCGGGGTGCAGAAACAGGTGAGTTCCCTTGTGCTCATGCCCAGACAGCTCCTGAGTCTTTGTAGAATGGACATGAATCCTGATTGTCACCAAGTAATATGGAAAGTGAAGCAGAAGTTGTGTGTCTCTGCCTCCTGACACCACGCACAGGAACACTTAGTGAGAGCCCTGCTGGTGGTGCTGATGGTGGTGGTGGCAGCGGTGGCTCTGGCTCCGAACCCCTGTCCTTGTCCTTTACAGGAGCTGCTAACGAGCAGTCAAGTTTACTGAGGTTACTTCCACCTTTCTCTCTGTCACCACCCACCTCTGGGAGAGGTGCTAATGAGCTGTGAAATAACCAAAAGGCCTTTTCTGAAGAGGAAAGAAGCAAAGAGTAGTAGAGACCTAACCCACCAGTGGATAACCAAGAGTGACTTCTCGTGCACGTGCACACAATAGGACGTGCGAAAGTGTTGCCATGCTCTCCTGGGACAGACCGAGCTCACGCCCCAGCCAGCTTTTCTTTTCCTAAGAGTTAATAGTAACTGCAGTAAAAGTTCACTGCAGGCTGACTCTTGGCATATAAAACCTCAGCTCTCAGCACATATTTTTACGTATTTTATAAAACTTCCTTTTGGCTGTTTTTGAAGTTCTAAGACTGCAAAGGGAAAAAAGTATCTGACACTTTTTTTCTGTGTTCTTAAGATGTGAAAATGTGGTTTCTAAAAGATATTTTTCAAGTATGGAGCATATGACAGAAGTAGAAAGGAAAAAAGGAAGTATTAAAATCTGGAAACTGGCTTCCCCACACACACTAGCTGGATTTGTCATAAGGGTTTTAACAGACACGCCTGCATCTGGGTTGTAAAGCAGAGCAGAGCTCATGTGAAGAACTGAGGACACCATAGGGTCAGCATTAGTCCTGGGAAGGAGGCGCCCTCTGAGGGAGCCACGGGGCTCTTCCCCAGAAACAGGCAGGCAGCGACCGGCAGGAGGGAGGTCAGGCCCCACCACACGTCCTCAGTCTGTAGCTCTCAGGGATCTGGACTTGAGGTTCTCATGACTGTGGACAAGAGCAGTGAAAACAGAAGGCCCAGCAGAGCCTGACAGGGACGGGAGAGGAGTCCTGGTTAGACCTTTAGTCCTCACAGTAGTGACTGTCCCCAGGAAGACTCCAAGGATGGGACACCATCTTTGTTCATAAGTTGCAAATTCATGTAAACCCTAGCCTGTACACTACTGGCAGAAAGTGGAAAGGGAATGTCGAGGCCTCGCTGAAGATGATGCTTCATTGTGTCTTTGAAAAATAGATAGACTTTCCAGACAGGACACTACAAACAAACACAGTCAAGTAGACAAAGACATAAATGTAAAACAAATGAGTCTTTCTTATGAGAGGACCTGCTTGCTTGTATGAAGGAGAATCCCAAGGAGCTGAAGTATTCACAGGCTCCTCTCTGCCCTAAGAGTTCTTATATGGTTGTACTCATATATGGTAAATGTGGTCATTCAGAAATACATCATCCACCTTCCTTCCCATTTTACGCTCGTCTCAGAAATGGTCATTCAGCTTTGGGTCAATAGTTTAGACAGGAGGCCTGATCCCTCATACCTCACAGTCCGTCCTGTTGTTAATCTCTACTACCACTTAGGAAATTCTTCCTGAAACTGGATACAACATCTTCTACCAAGCTTTTACTGTTCTCCATGATTGTCAGGCATACACAGCCAGCACACAACTTACTGTGAGGATTCTGCAAGCAGCCTCTATATTACAGCCCTTAAAAATACTAGACAGCACAAACAACAGAGCCGTACTCCGCAGGCTGCATTTAGATGTGTGCATATCTACTTACGCATAATAAAGAAAAGAGGCCACAGTTTGAGAGTCAGGGCAGAGGAAGGAGCTAAGGGAGGAAGGGGAGGGGCAGTGATGTAGTTATATTTTAATTAAAAGTATATTTAAGAGGCTAGAGAGGTGGTTCACTGTACCTGGGTTCAATTCCCAGCACCCATTTGGCAACTCACAGCTGTCTGTAACTCTAGTTCCAGGGGATCTGATGCCCTCACACAGACATTCATGCAGGCAAAACACCAATGCAGATAAAATAAAAATAAAAGTTTTTTAAAGTATATTTAAAAATAGATAAGAAAAAAGAAAGACATTCCAACATGGATGGGAAGGTTTGTAAGCCCGGGTTGCAACAGTACATACATACACACAAAAAACGGTTTCTAAAAAAATCTTGTCAAAGTTTTCCCTCTCTTCTCCTCTGTCCTTCCCACTCACACACACACAAGCAATATTTAAAAAGTTTTTCCCATTAGATTTCATTTCTGCTGCCATGATAATTTAGTGTTCAGATCTGGCACATCCAAAACACAGAGTATTTTCAAGTGGTTGAGGTTACAAAGAAAGAAAGTAACCAAGCTTCTGGGAGCTTTGCCTCTTCTCTTGGCCTCTTTCCTTCTCTCCCACCTGCATTTAGAAGTCTGCAATAAACAGCAGCTGCCTAATTCCTGAGGCTCATGGGATGCAGGTCCCTAGCGTGTGCTAGACACGTTGACATGCCCGACAGTGGAGAGGTGGCCAGAACTTGCTTTAATATTGATACTTGGTCCGTCTTTCTTACGTCATTTCTCACAAGTGAATGGAGCCTGACCACGTACACAGTTTGCCCGGATCTTTGTGTGTTGTGCAACTACTGTTGTGTAAATCTTGTACCCACATTTGCTTCTGTGTTTCCTGTCTCTTCACTGACGAATCACCTACCAGTCTAAAAGCTGGAATGCATGTATTTGTGCATCTCTGTACATCCACTTTGAATCATAGTTAGATGCTGTTTTCCGTGCATCTGGCACTCTGGAGTTACTCTTTCATATCACTGTTCTTTTTGGCACTGATCTAAGAGGAGCTCTGAAACCTGCTAAGTGAAATCATATGTAGAAGTCTTCTTTGTGGCTTTGGGGAGAGAGGAATTAGTGTGAAACCTGGAAATGTGTATTAAAGAGAAACCCTACACTTAAAAAAAAATTAAGTAGCTGTCTTCAACTGGTAAATTAATCTTGAAATTCTAACTGTGATTTGCAAAATAAAGGCACTGTTGGTTGGCCAATTTGAAGAAAAGCAGACAGCTCTCCTGAACCTGGTTCCCTGAGAGAGCACCCTGCCAGTGACTGGCCATTTTGGATTTCCCCTCATATAAATAGTCTTCCCTCCCTGGCCATTTTTAAGGATTTTCCCTTTTATCAAATTTGAAAGCCTATTTAAAGGGCTTTTTACTTTATAATGAAGCTGTAAAACCCACCAAGAGGATCTTTGCCTTTAAAAGAAGTGAGTCCCAGATGGTTACAAAGGTGCTGTGGTCTCTGTGAGAGCCAGAGTCTTTCCTCAGTCCTGGGCGCACAGGCCATGAAGTAAGCTTCATGCATACATGTTGCCAGGCCTGGCTATATTAAGAATTAGCCAGTTAGATACTACCTTGGAGTTTTCAAATGTTTATTTAAAACTAGGTACTACTATGGCATCATAAGACAGACTACCATGAGGGCCTAGTAATCCCTAGCCCATGTTAAAAGGAAAGCTTGCCTACTAATTGAGGACTCACAGTTGAGTTTTATGGTTTGCCTCTGTGAAAGCATAGTTCTGAAGGTCATAATGGCTAACATATCTAAGGAAGTCTAACAGTGGAGAGCAGCTTCTTTCACAGATGTGCTCCTACAGAAATGGAAACAAATGATTGTGAAGCAAATGGCTAAGAAAAAAAACTAGGCGTTGGAGAGATGGCCCAGAACTCAAGAGTGCTTAATAACTTCAGTTTCAGGGAATCAAGGCCCTGAAATAAGGGAATTCCTCCAAAGGTACCTGAACACACGTGATCCACACAAACTCATGCAGGCACACACATACACATCAATAAAATAAATCTTTTTTGTTTTGTTTTGTTTTGTTTTGTTTTGTTTTTCAAGACAGGGTTTCTCTGTGTAGCTTTGAGCCTTTCCTGGAACTCACTTGTCGACCAGGCTGGCCTCAAACTCACAGAGATCCACCTGGCTCTGCCTCCTGAGTGCTGGGATTAAAGGTGTGAGCCACTACTGCCCGGCCAATAAAATAAATCTTTAAAAATAAAATGCCAAACCCTTACTACTCAAATAATGCAGTGTACTATACAGAAGGGTCGTTTAATAATGGGTCTCTCATTCTAGGAGGTTTGTCCTGGATAGATAATACTTTAATCAAATTCAGTTACTCATGGGACTGGAGAGATGACTCAGCAGTTAAGGACATGTCCTGCTCTGCCAGAAGACCTGAGCTTGGTTCCCAGCACTCACAATGGCTGACTCACAACCACCTGTAACTCCAGCTCCAGGGGATCCACATCCTCCTCTGCCCCCCACCTGCACACATGGCAGATACACACCCACACCCTCATCTCATAAATAAAAATTAAAAATAAATCTTTGAAAAATAGTTATTCGTGTTTATTCGTATAAATAATGGTGCATTGAAATCATGGTCACAGTGTGCTATCAATGAAAGGAAATGTGTTGACTTTCAAGGTTACTTACACCTTGATGTTATAAATTATGCCTTTTAATCTTCACAGCAGAGGATGAGGTAGAGCCTGCTGTTTCTTGGTTTGCTCCTCATCAGAAGGAGGAGGCAAGCCAGTGTGAGTTAACTCAGCATCATAACGCTGAGTCTACTTCCTGCCTCTCTCTGTATTGACTTCCTCTCAACGCGGCCACACAGGCTCTGCATGTCCTCTTAGAAGACATGAGGGCAGATGCAGGGAGACTCTCTAAGTCTCAGATTATCCCCGGTACCATTGAAGAGTGGAATACTCACATTAAACACACAGTTCCATGTTTACCCGAGGCATTGGCAACAAGAGAATGGAATTCCCTTATGCCGCCTGTAGTACGGCTGAGGGCCACGGAAGGTGCCTGGCTGGCTTTGATACCTAAACCAACTCCAGTGTTTAATAGCAAGAGAGAAGAAAGACACAATATTGAGATGAGCAGGGAGCCAATGGTGCTTGTCCAGTGTGTGTTCTCTTTCTTGTAAGATCTGAATTGATGGAGTAGGTACTGGTATTTTAAGACCCACGTTTATTGGGGTTATCTTCAGTGTAGACTATGGGACAGATTCTGTGGGAGTCACCTGGCAAGCTCCTCAATATCTGCATACCAGTGTTTTCTTCTTGTCAAGGAGAATCATAGCAGCACCTGCTTTATAAGAATTAAAATGGCAAATTTGTGAAAATGATTTGTATTGAGTTAGGGTTCTCTGACAAAACAGAGCCAATACAGTATGGTGGGAGGGGCTGTGATTGATTGATTGATTATAAATCAATTCCCATTACTATGGAAACAGAAGTCCCAGGATCTGTAGTCAGCAATTTGAAGAGTCAATATGCAATTGCAGTCTGATCCTGAAGTCCTCAGAACCAGCAGAGCTGCCCAAAGCTAGCAAGTATTTCCATTTGCATGAAATGACTAAAAAAGACCAGTTCCCTACTGAGCAAAATACACACCCTGTACTATTCACATTGGCTGGATGCTGCCCTTTCACTGCAGGAGGAGCAGTCTGCCCATTCACATGTAATGTCATCCAGAAGTACCCAGAACGGATAACATTTAACTAGATATCTGGGCAATCCATGGTCCAGCCAAGTTGATATATTAAAATTGGTTTCATGTGCTTAGACTTGTAATAATATGTTTATTAGTTATTGATATTATTTTATAATTGGAAAATACCAGAAATAAGTGATACAGTTTATAAAAGTATTATATTTAGGGTCTGTAGTTATAGCTCAGTGATAGTGCACTTGGCTAGGATATGTGAAGAAGCCCAGGGTTCAATCTCTAAACTACAAAAAAAGAAGGAAGTCCTGTCTCCCTTAGTAATGGTAAATATTCATATTACAGATGGATTTGCTTTCTAAAAATATTAACTATGTCAGAGTAAATTTCACAATATCTTCCCAGTTTCAGTCAACTTAGAAAATATGTCTTACTATCTATCCCCGATAGCCTATACACTCAGAGCTGGGTGCAAAATTAGATAATCCGTGGGATTATTTATTTTTCAAGTTGTATAGTTCTACAATGTGGAAAAACAAATGTAATTCTGTATTTCAACCCAAGCTCATTTGTATTAGTTTCCACTGAGATCTTGAATGGATAAGATGAATTCTTGGAAAGCAGCCTGGGGGAACACGGTAATGGCACAGCTGCTCTCACCCCCCAACCCCCCCACATCCCCCCCACCCCCCGATTCTCAGCTTCTGTGCCGTCTCAGTACTAACCACCACTCCTGGCCAGTCACCTCTCAAGACAGGACAGTAGGGCTTCCTACAGGCTCCACTTTAGGTCTGTCACCCTTCTCTTCCGGCCCTTCTCTGGCTTCTCACTCTGACTCTGCTTAGGGTAGTCCGTAGGGCTGAGCTTCCACCCTGCCTGCCAGGTAAAGGTGCGCTGGCATGCTTTCACAACTTCTATCTCACAGGTCTTTAGCTCAGTCATCTCTCTCAAGAACCTGACCACTTCCAGCTGTTACTGGTCCATGCATATGTGTCTCCTCTTGAAATATCACCAACTCTGTATGATCAGAACAAAATTTGTTTCTTCTTTAAAGGCCCCTTCCCTGTCTTCCTTCATTTGTAACGAGCATCAGTGGATCTCTGCAGGTTAATGACATCCAGATTGATGAATCTTTTGTGTACTTACATGCCATCTTTTAGATTATCATCTGTGGGAGACAGATCATCTGTAGTTATTTGTCTCAGAGCATAGAGTTGAAAGTGGTTCAGCATTACCTCGGTCAAGATGGACAAGCTGTAGTCCGAGAGCACTTTGATTGCCTCACAGCCAGACAGAAACTGCCTTCGTACATATTAGAAAACGGTGAACTGACAGAGCTGTGTGTGAAGGCCAAAGGAGATGAAGACTGGTCAAGAGATGTGTGCCTGGACCCCAAGGCCTCGGAGTATAGCACTGTCATCCAGGTATGCGAGTATTGACATCTTAACAGAGTCCTGGAAAAGAGGAAGTGGTCTCCGTGTGCACCTCACTTGTTGTAGCCCTTGCTCTGTAATAAAATTGCAGCTGTAATGTCAGAAAGTGAAATCTGAAAAAGCACAGAAAGACTTGGTGAGGGCTTCGGGCAGCCGGCTCCCGTCAGTCCTTCCAGATGCTACTGCAATGCGTCTTGAGAGTCTGATGCTCTGAGGCTGAGGCGCGACTGTGGTCCTCAGCTCCCCACTTGAGGATGTGTTGCTTTTTATTTCTGTCTGAATATTCGCCACCATTTTCATCCACTTAAAAAATGGATCTCTTCGTTCTCCCAGCCCATCTTGCATCCCTTTCTGTGTACAGACACTTCACCTTTATGGAAAGGACTCCCTTTGTCTCATCATAGTCCGTCTATGCCATTAGAAAGTCTGCTTTTGCTTAGGTTGTTTTCTCAGTGGCTTTTTCCTGTAACTGTGAACTTCTTTCATCATCTAAACTGATATTCTGTGACTTATTTTGCTTAATTATCAAGCTGTTTAGAATCTAATGGGGCCTTTCCTGTCTTATGTGCAGGTGCCTACTTCAAACAGTTCCATTATTTATGTGTGGTGCACAGTTTTGACTTTGGAACCCAACTCTCAAGTTCAACAGCGAATGGTGAGTGCTTTCCCAATCCTGAAATATGGTGAACGACTCAGACCTTTCCTCTTCTCAGATAAGGTCAGAGTGACCCAGGGAAGAGATTTATTACAAGTATGTTTCAGCATCAAACAGCTGGAATACTGCAACAAAGCAAATATGAATGTTGTTCTGTCCTTTTACTTTTATAGATCGTGTTCAGCCCTCTTTTTATCATGAGGAGTCATCTTCCAGACCCCATTATCATACATTTGGAGAAAAGAAGCCTGGGTCTGAGCGAAACACAGATTATTCCAGGCAAAGGGCAGGAGAATGTGCTGAAGAATGCAGAGCCCGACCTTGCACACCACCTGACATTTCAAGCGCGGTATGAGCAAAGCGAGTCTCTAAGAAGCTGGGCTGAAAAGTCACCTCAAACTCTTTTTGTTTGCATGGATGCTTATGTCTTTATCTGAGAAGAATGTTACTTTAAAACTGCTCTGCCTCAGCCATGTGCTTAGATAGAATTCGGCCTTTTTCATTAAGCTTATAAATAACCAAGTGGAATCATTAAAAGTGTGATTTAATTTAGATTTTATTGACATGTTACTACAGAGAAGAGATGGCTAGAGATCTTACCCAAGTATGCACAGGTGGGAGGAAGAGGTAGGGCCCACATCATCTCATAAATGTCATAAATCTCTTAACTCCCTACAAAAAGGGGGAGGACTCCCCCACAAAACAGTATGTCAATCTGAGTACATTTATGATTGAATTTTTTTCAGTAAATTGTAGATCACTTGGAATCTGATAATGCTTTTTTCTTTCCATTTCCTAGAGAAGAATATGATCCTTCGGATTGTGCTGTTCCCATATCAACAGCCCTCATTAAGCAGATAACCACTAAGATACAACCTGGAGGCACAGTTAATCAGATGCTTGATGACTTCTATGGGCCAGAAAAGTCCCATGAACCCATTTGGCCTTACAATAAGAAGGATTCTGACAGGTAACGCTCATCATTAATTTTCTACATGTACTTCTAACCATTAAGAAATAACCATTCACAAAATACTAGCTGTGTCACTCAGATTCTCTGCTGCTGTGACAAAATGCCTGAGGAAAACACCTTGCAGGAGGAAAGATTCATTTGTCTCACAGTTTCAGAGGTCTCAGTCCATTATAGTAGGGAGGGCACCACAGAGCAGAGCAGAGCCCGTCATGGCCATCAGAGCACAGAAAGAGAATGTCTTTGCTCTCAGCTTTCTTCCCTCTCAGTCCCAGCCTATTGGATGGTGATGCTCACATTCAGAATTAATCCTCTCTTGAAATAACTTCATCAGCATACCCAGAGGTATTTTGCTGGGAATCTCATATGTATTTCTCAGTCCAGTCAGGCTTATAGCTTGATTAACCATTGTGCCAGATACAGTAAATGCGGTGGAGAAGACCATTTGCAAGCGTCTTCCAGACTCTGATGTCATCAGTTTGGTTTAGCCTTATGAATATCTTTACTCATAAGGTGAAGCTTCATTACATGACAAGCTGCTTTCTTGTGCTTGCAGATGCAGCATTGGGTGAGTGTGGCATGCCAAGGTATTCTGCGGGAGCATTGTGTGTCTGGAATGCTTAGACATGCTTCATAAATTCTGAACTCATCATGTTTCAGTGAGTCACTTGGATGTGTTATTTGGAACAGGAATGAACAGCTGAGTCAGTGGGATAGCCCAATGCGAGTGAAGCTGTCGGTCTGGAAGCCATATGTGAGAACCCTGCTGATAGAACTGCTGCCCTGGGCCCTGCTTATCAATCAGTCCAAGTGGGACCTCTGGCTATTTGAAGGAGAGAAGATTGTTCTACAGGTCCCCGCTGGCAAAATTATTATTCCTCCTAATTTTCAGGTAATATGACTTAAAACTCGCACATTCCTTTTCCTTAATAACTCGATTTTATTCTTAGGTTATTCTTAGGATCTTAACAGGATGAATCACTTATGAAAACTGACCTGGTAGGTGCATACATAAAGGGTATGGAATGTTCTTTGATATTGAAACATTTTTCAGATGTGCTTTTCCTCATCAGCAGTACTACCCATGACTGAATTATCATTACATCTAAAAACACATACTGTTTACATT